GTATTTCCTTTTCTTCTTGGTGCATGGTAACCAGATAATCTTTCTATATTATTTCAGCTGAAAAAGTTCAAATTTTCTTTCTGACTGATTACTGGATAGTACATTCCGAATGCTTCTATAGGGAAGATGCATGTTCTCAAATCGAGGCATTGCTTTCCTTGCCGGCGCCTAACCATCGGCTTTTAATGCAGCCTTTTACCATAGATTAAATGCCCGGCTCTCTAGCGTAGTTGGCTAAACCGGATTGCGCGGAGACCAGCTGACGAACTCCTTGTGCTCCGGGTTCACTCCCGGGGGTAGGCAGAAAAGCCACATTTCTCTCAGATTTACAGTATTTACAATGGAATCAAGGCCGAAAGGTTGCGATATCCATAATGCCGAGCCTAAGGGTTAACAACTCATGGCTTCTGGATACTAAAACAAACAACAAACAAACCACAGATTAAAATACTGGAGCAGACCGTTCTTCTGCAGAATGGGAAATAAGAATCATTTAAAAAAAAGAACAATATTTGCACAAAATGTAAAATGCTTGGAAAAAAAGAGCACAGATATGCAGAAATGAAGACAGCACATATGTAAAGAAAAAGATAAGAAATGTGTAAAAATAAACAAATACATAACACACATACAGAAATTAAAACAACACAAATGCGCTTCAAAAATCATGTTTTCAAATGGGCTTTATCACAACCAAATGGCAGATACAATATATTCAGGTTTTACTTCCAACAACGAGTGATTGACTGGCCATCAGTATAAAAAAGAAGCTGATATTGTGTTACATAGTTTCTAGCAGAAACGTACACCGAATCTTCAAATTACCTGTCTTTTACAATGTTCAGTACATTTAACACATTTAATAGCATCATAACTTTAGAAATACATCGCAAATATATATAAGAAAAAGAAGCAACAGTCCCATGTATACTCTTTTACACTACGTGGTATATGGTGCTCGTACGATATTAATATAAGCAATTGGTTCTCTGTCGATAATATGGTCAGAATCAAGCCAGCCGTTCTTAATTTTCCAGAAAGTTTCCACACAGTTGGAAAATATAGTCCTAATGTAGATCCGCACCCTTAGCGATTGAACCAAAATCATTACAAACCAATTGTCAAAGATGAGGATCTGCATCGAGACTATATCTTGAAAGTTTTGCTTGGATTACAAAGATGGATCATCATGTAGCAGGCATTTTGCAGAACGTCGCTCTCCTCACAACCTACCTGAAAGAAACTCGGTCTCTCGCCAGCTCTCCCGCCTCAAGTACTTTCATGGAGTCACTTATATCCTGTGCCCATCTTCGTGTTAGTCGGCCCCTGCCCCTCTTTCCTGGTCCCATGCCTTCTGCTATTTTTTTTCCCAATCCGTCGCGGGGTTTAATTGAATATTTCAACTTCATTGATGTTCAGATCTTTCAAGATGTCAATATTTCTGACAGTATTACAGATATTATGAGAATCTTTCTATAGCATTTCAGCTCGAAACACCATATTTTCTTTCTTAAGGACTGGGAGATAGTCCACGACTCACATCCGTATGTTGCTAAGGAAAAGATGCATGCTTGCCAAATTCCGATTCTGGTCTCCTTGCTGGTGCTCAACCATAGACATTCAAGATAGACACCTAGATTAAATTATTCGTATGCATGTTTAAGTATGTAGTTGTGTATTATGGATGTGTGTATGTATGCATATATGTATCTAAGTGTGTATGTGTGTGTTTATGTATGAAAGTATGTATGTATGTTTGTGAGTGGGTGTATGCGTGATTGTGGGTGTGTGTATGTATGTTTTTATGTGTATGTTTGTGAATATTTGTATGTATATTTAGGTTTGTTAGTATGTGTGTGTATTTATGTATGTATGTTGTAAGTATGTGGCTGTATGTATATGTGTGTAGTTGTGATTGTATATGAGTGTATGTGTGATTGTGGGTGTGTGTGTATATATTATGTTTGCAAGTATGTGTGTATGCAGGTATGTATGTGTGTATGTGTGATTGCATATGTGTGTATGCATGCATGTGTGTGTATGTATATAATGTCTGTGTGCATGTATGTGTGCATATGTATCCATGCATGTATGTATGTATGTATTTATGTGTGTATGTATGCTTGTTGGTGGATGTATGCATGCATATGTAGCTGTGTAAGTATGTGGGTGTATATGTGTATTTAAGTACGTATTTAAGTATGCATGTATGTGTGTAAGTATGCGAGTGTAATAAAGGATGCGTGTATGTATGTAGGTATGTATGCATGTATGTGGGTTTATGTATGTGTATGATTGTATGCGAGTGTATATGTGTGATTGCGGGTGTCTGTGGGTGTCTGTATATGTGATTGTATGTGTGTGTATGCATGCATGCATGTGTAGATGTGTATGTATGATATGTGTGTGCATGTATGTCTATGTATGTATGTGTGTTTTATGTTTATATGTGTTGGTGTATATATGGATGCATGTATGGCTGTATGTTTGCATTATGTATGCATTTAGATGTAACCTATGTATGTATGCATTGTGGTGTATGTATGTATGTGTGCGAATATATATGTAGGTGCGTGTGTGTATGTATTTCGATTGTCTGTATATGAGTGTGTATGCTTATGTAAGAGGATGTGCACGTGTGTGTGTGTATATGTGTGTGTGCATGTGTGTGTTTGAGTGTCTATGATTGTGTGTACATGATGTGTATATGCATTATTCTATAATGTATATTTTTTATTATAAATATAACATGCATTATTGTTCACAGGCACTGGTACTCTAGAAGATGAGTGCTTAGAAGGGCTGAATGTCGGACGGGCCTGTGTGCCCAATTTGTAACCCTTCGAAAATAATGTTTGTTAGTTTGTTCGTTGGTTCATTCGTTCATTCTATATAAGTTTTCCTCTTGTGGGATGCAATTTTTCGTTCTTTTGAAGCCCCACCTTGGCTGTTGCCGGGGGACCTAATATAACCTAAAGGTTGAAGGGGTTTCAGGGAAATCTCCACAAGTGATTCTCATAAGTGATTCTGTCTGTCTGTCTGTCTGTCTGTCTGTCTGTCTGTCTGTCTGTCTGTCTGTCTGTCTGTCTGTCTGTCTGTCTGTCTGTCTGTCTGTCTGTCTGTCTGTCTGTCTGTCTGTCTGTCTGTCTGTCTGTCTGTCTGTTTCTCGAGGCACACATAAACATATACATATAAAGATTTATTTCATTCCCACACCTGGAACCAATCTCCCCCCCCCCCCACCCCCCACCCCAGCCTTTTTGTTAACACTCTACGCATACACTTACAGGCAAGCAGACAGCCCACCGACTCACCTTTTTATACACACATACTTACACACGCACACACACACAGTATATAGATAAATTATTTTTTTTTCTGTCCGTCTTTCCCCCAATGGAGCGTAGGCCCTCAAACAACTTACGCCAAGCCATTCTATCCTTCGCCATTACATGGAGCTCTCCCAATGTTCTCTCCATCTTTTTTTTTTTTTTTCATTCTCCAGCTCTCTTTGTCCCGTATTTTTTTTTTTTTTTTTTAGCCTTTCTCTTTTCCTGTGCCCCTGTGGGTTCCAATGCAAATTAGGACAGCTGAGTGTAACACACTCACGTAAAGTAAGGAGTGCAACTACACCTAAATTATCACCTTTTTTTTCTACTTTCCCCCTTTCTTCACCTTACCTTCTTCTTCCTTCTCTTTTTTCTTTCTCCCTTCACTTCTCCTCCCTTCTTCTTTATATCGTTTTTTCTTCTTTATTTTTTTTTTTTTTAAATTTCTTTCATCTTTTTCTTTTTTTTCAATATTTCTTTGTTTCGTACTTCCTAATTTGTCTTTCTATTTTTCTTTCTTTCTTTCTTTCTTTCTTTCTTTCTTTCTTTCTTTCTTTCTTTCTTTCTTTCTTTCTTTCTTTCTTTCTTTATTTCTTTCTTTCTTTCTTTCTTTCTTTCTTTCTTTCTTTCTTTCTTTCTTTCTTTCTTTCTTTCTTTCTTTCTTTCTTTCTTTCTTTCTTTCTTTCTTTCTTTCTTTCTTTCTTTCTTTCTTTCTTTTCTTTCTTTCTTTCTTTCTCTTTCTTTCTTTCTTTTTCTTTCTTTCTTTTTCTTCTTGTCTTTCTTTCTTTCTTTCTTTCTTTCTTTTCTTTCTTTTTTTCTTTCTTTCTTTCTTTCTCATTCTTCATCTGCTTCTTCTTCTTCTCATCATCCTACTCCTCCTTGCTCATTTTGTTCCCAAAATAAGCAAGCAGCCTACCCCATGCGCCCCTCCCTGTCACTCTTTAGTTCCCCTCTCTGTTTGTGTGTATGTGTTTTCGCGCGCGCGCGCGCGTGTGTGTGTTTTGTTGGTCTTCCTCTATTTTTACAACTTGTGTGTTTTAGACTAAATAATTTAAAGCAGGGTTGGATACAGTTGGCTCGAAGAGATGGTCTACAGTTAAAATCTACCTCTTGATCACACAAAATATCAGAACAAAAAAAACCAGCTAGGAAAGAAACACTTAGTAGTATATAAAAACGTTTATTTGAGTAAGTGCATCTGGCAAGGGGTTTAGCGAGGGATTATCATCTTAGATTATCCTACACAAAATACCTGCTATGAGGAAATCTGGGTGTCATGTCTACAAGTAATTTGTTTTTATTTGTTTTAAATTTTATTCAGTTCAGCGACCAATTTGTAATTCTAAATTTGACCTGTGAACATGATGATTTTGCACATCAATGTTTACATTGAAATGGGTGTGTTCATAAGTCCACGGGTGGTGTATGTGTGACTAGTGCTCTACTTTTTTTCAAATGCATTATAACCGACACGTCAAAAACACAGGCCACATTGAAACGACATAAAGAATGCTGACATTTTAGACATAAATGCTGTATTATGACAAGTTTTTAAATAATCAATCTAGCAGGAAAAAACATCGTCATAAAAATATGAAAATATGTAATTCATCAATGAAAAGCAGCACGTTTTATAAGTGGGTACATTAACAACGAAAACCATAAACAAATTCAAGTCATTTCTGCCTCGCTCTCGACTCCATGACTGACTGCACTCTGCTCCGCTTCACTGTTGCCGTTGGCTCCACTGATCAGCTCATTTCGGGCGTTTTTCTCTCTCTTTGCCACTTCTGTTGCTACCAAAACCAGTCCTACAAACCCGATGACGTGTAGGACCATAGCAGTGTACAACGACGTCATTAGTTTGTGTGAAAAGATGGATGTTAAGAAGCTGGCAATAAGGCCAACGCCTTGGCAAATTCTGAAGATTGTCATGGCGGTATCTTTCTCTTCTCTTGCGTATCGTGTCACCACAGCTGCAGAAAAAAAAAAAAAATTATTGGGTCATTATAGTACGCTCCAAAAGTCGTACCAAATTTAAAAATCTGTAACACAGTAACCGTTCGGTGTAATTTATTATATTTGGCATGCGACCTGTTAATAATCATGTTTTTGTAGGAAACGAATATAATGAAAAGAAGCAATGCGTTTTTATTTTGCCTTATTTGCGGTATATGAAGGGAAAAAAAGAGACATACATCGATTCAATGAGTAAAAATCTGCAGCAATGAACTTCAAGGGCTCGGGATGCTGAAGAAGACTGACAGAGATCCCGCTGGATAGTCACTTGGGCTACAAGATTCGTACAGTGTGCGATACTCCCAGCAGTCAACTAGCCGTTCTGCAAGGAGGGGCCGAGCCACATGGGACAAAACTTGATGCAATGAAGCAGATCCTCTGGAATTTAAACTCCTTAGGCAGCTTACGATAAAAATGAAAGAATATATACAATAAGAGATACATTTGCAAGTAATCCACGACAGAGTGGTCACAAGGGGTAAAATACGGTGCCATAAAACAGCACTTAAAGAAGTAGCAGAAAGAGAAGTAGATTAGCAGGAGGTGATATCTAGCGGGTTTTGCCGTAATTAGTGCCCTAATGATAATAAGCTTGGAGATTGAACGGGGTGTCTGGAATGTGCCTGATTAATCTCAGTATATTATGATAAATCTTTAAATAGCACACTTAAGGGAACAACTTTGCAGCCATTTTTTGGGGGGGAAAGGGGGGGGGGGGTGAAGGGGGGTGTAGGGGGTGTAGGGGGGGGGGGAGCGGTTCAGGAGGAGGAGCACCCCATCCCCCCCAACACCCCCTCCTTTTTTTTTCTTCACTGCGACTCAGGATTTATAACCGAGTGTTTCATATTTCTGTCTTTATCATTCGTTAGGAAAAAAATGTGGAACATTGCCTTCTAAATTCCCCTCGTTTATACAAAAACCGAGGTACATTTTTTTTTTTTTTTTTTGGAGGCGGCAAAGTGAAATTCAAATGTGTTACTATGATATCAAATCCTTATGTTTCTTGTATCCTCTAGTCTCTACTTATTAACAAATATTATGTCTACCCAACCCTTCTGCATGGCCCAGAGACCTGGACAATGAACAAGCAATTAGACAAAAGTACTGAGTCTCTCGACATGTGGATATATCGAAAAATAGGTTATACTTCACGGAACCAAAGACAATGAAATAAAGACGCTTAGAATAAACTAGGAAGAGAGAGAGAGAGAGAGAGAGAGAGTGAAAGAAAGAGATGGAGAGAGAGAGTGAAAGAAAGAGATGGAGAGAGTGAGAGAGTGAAAGAGAGAGAGAGACATAAAGTGAGAGAGAGAGAGAGAGAGAGAGAGAGAGAGAGAGAGAGAGAGAGAGAAGAGAGAGGGGGGGGGGGGGGGGGGGCTACTGAATGAAATGTAAAAAAAAAAATAAAAAATAAAAAACATAAAAAGTAAACTATGTTGACCCATTTATAGACCTTACACTCTTATTAAAAACTATACTGGAGGAAAAATCAAAGACACGCGAAAAAGAGACAGACAGCAATACAAGTAGAAGAGTAACATTAAGAGATGGATGAAGGGCAGTCTGAAAGGGTAGTCATCCAGGAAAAACAAAAACAATCATATACAGACTTTCCGAACAAAAACGAAATTAGGAGAGAAAGAGGGAGAGAAAGAGAGCGAGAGAGTGTGTGTGTGTATGTGTGTGTGTGTGTGTGTGTGTGTGTGTGTGTGTGTGTGTGTTAGTGATCCACTACAGCTGAGAAGTCATCACTGTTACATAAGCGGCTTTGAAATCTAAAACTGCGTTTAACTAGTTCAGGTTTAGCCGGTCAGACATCTATTGTTTTTAATATGTTTTCGATGTGTATATTTGAAACCGACATAGGTGTCGCTCGATGAATGTAAAAAACAATAATAAGAGATAATTTCCTCCTCCTCCTCTTCCTGCTGCTTCTGCTTCTTCTTCTTCTTCTTCTTCTTCTTCTTCTTCTTCTTCTTCTTCTTCTTCTTCTTCTTCTTCTTCTTCTTCTTCTTCTTCTTCTTCTTCTTCTTCTTCTTCTTCTTCTTCTTCTTCTTCTTTTCTTCTTCTTCTTTTCTTCTTCTTCTTTCTTCTTCTTCTTCTTCTTCTTCTTCTTCTTCTTCTTCTTCTTCTTCTTCTTCTTCTTCTTCTTCTTCTTCTTCTTCTTCTTCTTCTTCTTCTTCTTCTTCTTCTTCTTTTTCTTCTTTTTCTTCTTTTTTCTTCTTCTTCTTCTTCTTCTTCTTTGTCTGCTTCTTCTTCTTCTCCTCCTCCTTCTCCTTTTTTTCTTTTTCTTCTCCTCCTCCTCCGCAGAATTCTTCTGTCGCGTGTAGCACCACACATTTTAACACAGATATACTGCTTTATCACCACCCCCCCCCCTCCCTTTTTCCCCCAATCCTCGCCCTCTTTTTGTCTCTGAGACAATGCATCTAATGTTTTTTTCTTTCACAGGAAGCGTTTACAGAATATAATTGTTTTCCAATTAACCCCTGATTTAAAAAAAAATAAAGTGTTTAATAATGTAAAGGAGAGAAACAGACAGATGCATTTTTTATTCGGAAATGTGAGATAGTAAACACATTTCTCAGACGATCGTTCTACAAGACAATAACAAGGATTACAAAATTGCTGCTAAATTGCCAGTCTGGCAGGTTAAAAACTAAGTATCGTGATTTACTGAACTGTTTACACTGAGAGCTTCACTTCATGCCAGATATGGCAATATATCTCTCGTAATTATTCCATATTAGGGTTGCCGGGGCACACTTTTTGGATTAAAACAACAACTTAAAGTGCCAACCACCCCTTAACGTGCAGACGCAGACGAAGAAGTTACAATTTGAAAGAGAACAAACAGCTTGTACATGGTGAAAGAGTAGGGACAGAATATATATATATATATATATATATATATATATATATATATATATATATATATATATATATACATATATATATATTCTGTCCCTACTCTTTCACAATGTACAAGCTGTTTGTTTATATATATATAAACACACACACACATACATACACACATAAATACATACATACATATATATGCATGTTATATATATATATATATATATATATATATATATATATATATATATATATATATATATATATATATATATATATAAATCAATGTTTGTGTGTTTGTTTGCCCCCTATAGACTCGGAAACTACTGAACCGATTTAGCTGAAATTTTCAGGATATGTTTGTTTTGATACCGGATTTTGAACCATCGTGGTTTGAAATTCAACCTGTCACTGTTAGAGATAGGTGACCACAATTTATGCCATAATATTCGCAACTAATATTTATAACTTTAGTGATTTCTAATTATAGCCACGTTAGTAATTGCGAATGCGCCGCCGTAGTCAGAACGCAAGGCTTCCGCCATTCGCCGGCGAGTTACGTGCAGCCAACGCCTTAATACATAGAGTGGGTCGAGGTACCGCAAACAAGACTATCTCTATATTTGCCACAATAACCATATTAAACACCATTTATATTTTCTGTTTTTTTTTTCAAACAACCTTCGATGGGGGGGGGGGGGGCAATCAAGGACTATCTCGACGTCGGCGCAGACATTGACTGCGTCATTAACTTCATTAGACAGGTGCGATTTCCATTGTCTTTCTTTTCTAAAAATCTTTGATGAGGGAGAGGGTAGTAGGTGGATTTAGTTGTGGGGTGGGGGGGGGGGGGGGGGGGAGTGGGGTGGGGATCAAAGACTATCTCAAATTACGCCACAGCAACGCGTCGCAGGGTACAGCTAGTATATATATATATAAACCAGAACTTGAAAAGATTACTTCTATACATGGTTGGGAGTTAGGTTGGGGTAGCGTGTGTGATGCATATTAACCCTTAACAACTGTGGGTAGAGGAGAAATGCCGAGAACATACCCCTATACATACATGCGGAAGGTGGGGTGGGGGGGAGTACTTTTACTCCCCAAGGTTTAAGCTCCCTTGTGTGTACGCGGATATAGAAGGCTTCATTATCGGGGACAAGCAATCTAACCTTGAGACTGTGCCTGCAGGGTCCCGTCTGCCAAACCCCAGAATGCAGTGTATAGCAGAAGTTCCGATGATTGGCTGGAGTCTGGTTTCCATAGCGACGTCAGTACAAGAACAGTGGCGTTTAGTATGAAACCTGAAAAGTGGGAATAAGAATAAAAGATATTAAAATAGCTATTTTCTTAGCTTGCTGCCGCTGCAGTGTAGTGAATAGACCATTGCTTGTAATTCTAAAATATATTGCGTTCAAATCAGCATCGACATTTATTGTTTACCTTTCAACAATCGACAAAACACACAGAATACACACTGCTCAAAAACATACAAAAACACAGATTACGTACTGTATAAAATAACAGCAGATCCAGTACAGTTACTAAAAACGTTTTTTGACATCTTTTGGATTTCCCAGACTTTGTGTTATACTGTGCTATGGGGATCACATAAATAAACACAGGGAGAACCTATAAGGGCGTATAAATATTATATGTAATAAACAGACAGACAATGTATTGATCAGCACTTATAGAATTAGGTAGAAAGATGCAAGGACACACTAAATAACATACAAATCGTAAGCTATAGTTACCGTGCCGGAAAACAAATCTTTCACACACAGATCGCATGTACGCCTCGCCATGGACACAAGTGTACTAAGAACATGACCAGCTAGGCACCCCCACCACCCCTACCCCCAAATAATATATAAACTAAAATGGTGTCATCATTGGCCATGTCTATCGCGCAGCTTGAAATCCACAACAACTGAATACGGACAGAAGTCATCTGGAACCATTGAAATGGCTACATTTGTTACATTTTCATTACCCAAGCATAGGTCAAATAACAAATATAATAACAATTAAAAACACATCGGACCGTAACGTTGTGTCTAGAAAACAATAAACATTTAAGAAAGAGATCTGATTGGTCGGTTCCATGGGCTTGCTTGGCAATTATAGCCCATGGTGACGAGGAGTGTCACTAGCAAAAACCACCTGAAAACAATGCCTTCCGCCATTGAAGCACACAGTTTCAGGACAACTGTTCTTTCGATCTGTTTCTGAGACCGTTTAAGGCCAGGAACGTTCCTCCTCTTCAAAGCACACAGCCTGTGCAATATTGCAGAGAATTTGTGAATTATAGACACAATATGCCATCAGACCCCTCGCTCGGTCTGACTTGGTTACTTTAACGAAAAGGTAACACCAACACGTTTGGAACAAAGCATACTTAAAAAGCTGTCATATCAGCAAAGAGAAGTACTCAGTCAGTCTGTCGAGGGTTCTCCAAAGACCAGCTAGAAGTAGATTTTGACCTGTCGTTTTAAAATAAAAACGTGCCTCGGTTATATTTCTTTTCTAGGATAAGGTTAGTATCTTCTCAAATACTCTCCTCCGTCCGAATTTGTTTGTACAATTTAGCCTGTCATGTATGATCTTCGTCGCTAAACATTTCGCATTAGCAAACGACAGGTAGCACCGGCCACTGTCATATGGTAGCTCAGTCATATCTGACCAAGAACTGGCACATACCAGTACGTAAGTACTGTAAAAAAAATACAGAATATCTACTGTACAAATACATACAAAATACAGAATGCATACTTCACAAGAACATTATACATCATCATCATCATGAAACACATCTTGTGTAGAATACAGATCTCATCATGGTGTGCCTATAAGAAAATTGATATCATTCCAGCATTTCCACCTCAGACACTTTCCTACCAAATGTGTTAACATATATCCGGTGACCATTTTGTTCTAGTCACTCCTGCCCCTCTTTTCTTGTACCTTGCATTCTGCTATTATTTTCCCACCCGCCTTGGCGCATAATATGCCCAAAATATTGCAGTTTCCGAGACAAGATGCTGTTAACTCTCTGATGTTCCTAGATGTTCAGATTTTTTAGAATGTTAGTATTTTTCTTCGAATTCGTCCATGGTATTGTCAGAACCTTTCTGTGTCATTTCAGCTCAGACATCTGTGTTGTGTTTTCATGAATAAATGTCAGATAGTCCACAACTCACATCTATACGTTGAGCATAAGGTTTGAGCATAATCGTGTAGTGGTGTGTGATCTTTGCATCGCTTTGTTGAAGTCTCGATGGCTCTTAATGTGAATCCGACATGTTTTATTTTTTGCTGTGACATTTAGTATTGTTTAATTCTGTTTTCGGTGACAGGCAGTTCTGAATGTGGTCATTATTTTGGCTTTCTTTACTTCAAGAGCAGGGTACTGTTCTTTACCATGTCTTTGGACAGAAATGGCCACATTGTCTATTCCATTTACACTTTTCAAAAGAAGGATTGTGTAATCTGCATAAGAAAGTTCCTGAAAAGGGCTACCGCTATTTATAGGAGAATAATACCTGCCACTAGGTAGAATACATACTGTACAAGAACACATAATATATACTGTAAAAGAGCGCAATACATAATGTACAAAACACATACTACGTATTGTACAAGAACACAGAATAGTTACTGTACAAGAACACATACTGTACAAGAATACAGAATACATACTGAATAAGAACACAGAACACATACTATAGGAGAAAACAGACTTCATTCTGTACAAGAATACAGAATACATACTGTATAAGAACACAGAACACACTGTAGGAGAATACATAATTCATTCTGTACAAGAACACAGAACACATACTGTACAAGAATACAAAATACATACTGAATAAGAACACATAACACATACTGTTAGAGAACACAGACTTCATTCTGTACAAGAACACAGAATACATACTGTACAAGAACACCGAATACTTACTGTACAATAACAAACAAAATACAGAAAGCATATTCTACAGAACACATAATGCATACTGTACAAGAACACAGAATGCATACTGTACAAGAACACAGAATGCATACTGTACAAGAACACAGAATACATTCTGTACAAGAACACAGAATGCATACTGTACAAGAACACAGAATACATTCTGTATAAAAACACAGAACACATACTGTAGGAGAACACAAAATACATAGTGAACAAGAACACAAAATACTTACAGTACAAAAACATACAAAATACAGAATACATACTGTAAAGAACACAAAATACATACTGTACAAGAACATAAAACACATACTGTTCAAGAACACGGAACACATATGATACAAGAACACCATATACTGTACAAAAGCACATAATACAAATTGTACTCAGAATTCATAGTGTAAACAAACAAATAATGAGACAACAATAAACACAAAATAGCTACATGATAAATATTAAAGAAATGTACAGAACATGTACAAACCCAGTGATAAAAAGACAGGATGAGCAGAGCACGGCTTGAGTTTGTCCATGGCTAATATAGCGATCAAATTACCCGTCCCAAATGAGACCATCATGTATCCGACAATGAAACAGCCGACTGTGTCTGTTCCGTATATCTGGTGATAATAACACGAATGGTGAGAAACATATAAAAAATGTGTCTTTTTCCCTGCATTTCATACTTTAGGGCTATGTAGGCACTACAGTGCGACTAAGAACCTACGGCACAGCATTTGTTAACAGGTTAAAGTAAAATTTTTGAGATCCTGTATCTCTCCCAGGGTATGAGGATGGATCAATAAGTAAGTCACAAATAGTGGTTAGAAAAAAAAAATATTAAAGGCGACGATAACTTGAAAACAGTTAATTTTTACACATGGACTGTCCCTTTCTTATGCAGCATAATTTCCACTAATTTTGATACATCTGTCCTTTCCCCCAAATCTACTGCTTAGAACTGCGTGCTTTGTTTTGGAAACCACATTTTCCCTTCACATTCAACTGTGTAATGGTGTGTGATCTACGCGTCATTCGCGAAATGTCTCCCGTGAAGGTATGTTTTTAGTGCATTATATTGTCAGCTAAGCTATGTGAGCATCTTATTGTAACTGCTACAGAGTCAACCGTTAATCGCCTGTCACCTCTAATCATCTCCTTCACTGTTACACGGAACAGGACGAGCAGATGGGACTTCATCAACAATCGTAGAGCGTTCTTGAGAAAAAAAATATTTGATCCAGCTTTACGGCATAAACAGTTACAGGAACCATTTTCTTATGAAAGTCCTCTGCAGGCAGCAAATTTCATAACAGCACACAGTTCTTTAGGGCACACTCCATAAGTACAGTCAACATTTTGTTTCTGTAGTGCGAATGCTCACGCAACACCTTTGTTGTTGCTGTTACCTTATGACAACTTTTGAAACCAACAACTACTACATTTTCATGCCATCTCATAATCATTTGTGACCTACTTATAGACTTTCCCTCGTACTTATAGCTGGGAGTCATGGACACTTGCTCTGATTTTTAAGGGAAACAAATTGGAGTTTTTGAATTGAAATGCCGCAGAAAAATCGCGGACTAAGAAGCACAGACATGCTACATAATCTGAACATCCAGGAGACCGCTCACAAACAGCCTCGACACCCATAACGAAATCAAACTACACAAGAATATAAGAAAGTTCAGCGGATACCTACCTCTTTGAAAACCAACACCGACATGTTACAAGGAATCAATAGATAAAAAGAATCACCAACAGATAAACGTCCTCAAACAACAAAATATAATGGAACCACAGGAAACCTAATCAGAACATGTACTGCACAATCATCATCATCATGTAGCATGTCTTTTGCAGAATGTCGCTCTCATCACGTTCTGCATGAAAGAAACTCGCTCTCTCGCCATCTCTCCCGTCTCATTTCATGTTATACTCAAGGAGTCACTTATATCCTGTGCCTTTCTTCGTGTTGGTCGGCCCCTGACCCTCTTTACTAGTACCATGCCTTTTGCTATTATTTTTCCCAATCCGTTGTAGAGCCTAATATGACCAAAATATTTCAGCTTCCGAGACAGGATACTGTTGATCAGCCAATATTCCTTGATGTTCAGATACACAATACAGATCGCATTTATAAGCAAATGCTCAGATGAGCTTAAATTCTCGTTTAACAAGAGACGAAATCTGTGGTCGTATTTTGGTCATGTCACGTTTGAAGGAACAGATTAGGATCCACAGCTTGATGGGTAGTGGCTGTGGTTATTTCTTGAAGACCTAGTAATTCTTGAAGGTGAGAGATCCATCTTCTCCCAGGGCTATCTGTTACTTTCCCATGAGATAATCGTTTCACGTATAGCGCTTGCGTGGATGATTGTTTCTGCAGCATTCTAACGAGGTAAACATACAATGTAATACGCTTCAGCTTGGTTTATCAAATGACTTAAAAAAGAAGTTTACAATTTCTAAAGGGTAAACTGAAATACACTAAGCTCATGATAAAATAACTACCAATAGTTTGACGTATACTACAAACAAAACACGCATTTAATAAAAGATTTCCTGATGGAAGCACTCGATGTTTCAAATTGACCGTAAATTAACCGTCCATTCGGGCCATCTATATTCTCAAACCAAGCTGTTGGACAGCGTCCTCAATTACCAAAACTTTAGAGCCCAATTTGTAGAAAAAGCATTTCGTAAGAGCCTCCAGGGACATAAATAATGGACATAAGTGCAGACACCGACAGACGCGAATATGAAGTTATTACAGATAATTGGGTTCAGCCGAAAGCGTCTTTCAGGAGATGTTGTTGTCAGACATGCAGGATAAAGGCTATTATTATCAGAAAAAAATCATGAACGGAATACACCTTTTATTATTTTTTTTTCCCATTTTTTTCACGGCTTTAGGCGTATTGGGAATTTAGATCTAGATCTATATGTTTATAGACCAATCGGCGCTTGGAAGGTGATGTGGCCAGTATCACTCTAGCCGCCCTTTCTTCCCTTACTGCACCTGGTACCCACTCGAGGCTGGGTCGACCTGGGAGTCAAGGTCATTTTTGAAAACATTTCCGGCCTCGCCAGGACGCGAACCCACAACTTTCCGATCATGGAGAGGCATGATTGCCCACGCCGGTCAGTTAGACACTTGATGATGATGTAATAATGTATTTATGTGTAGATATTTTTTTTTTTGGAAGTACCATTTTTGTTGCCTTTATTTTAACATTGCTCGTAATGCCGGGTTCGATACCATCTGCGGGTCATGCGTCTTGCGTTGGTTTCGACAGTGGTATCATGAAAGCCGACCGTCCAGTAAGCAATGGCCAACTACTGGGCATAAATGCCTAGGAAAACCACACAACAGCAAGGGACTGTTGGGGTTAATTCTGCAACGTCCTGTAAAGGATACGCAACTAATCTATGTTAACATTTGGTTTGTGTATCGGTATAATATACTATATATAACAATGATAATCTTCGTGTGGTCTCATGCCTAACGAACGAGCATGCAAGCTTTATTTCCAAACGGTCATAAATGAAACGCGCATCCTCGTCCCACATTCTACTAAATGTTATATAAAATGTCATAGCCCCACATTCGACCATTCAGGACACTTATCTTTCGCAGACAAAAATTATATTTTACTATGCAAAGCATGTTGTGTTCATATAACAAAATAATTAATAATACTCTCAAGTAACATACACAAATTGATAGGAGTCAGCTGTAATAGCTCGCTATCTCACACGATCACCAGAATCATGGCTCAAGTCTGTGTTATTATTCCGAGAATACTTGGCGTTAGAGCCATTTAAATTATGTATCTTTTTATCTTCCATTATTGTATTTCATTTATAATTATTTCCTTTGCTCTACCAAAGTTTAGAAATGTAGTCATAATTTGAACACAACTGAAAAAAAAATTAAGGTCCTTTTTCCACGCCTTTAGGCGTACAGGGCACATAGGGCTAGACCTATTATTTTAAAGACCAATTAGCACAAGATGGGTGATGTGGTCAGCATCACGCCGGCGAATACAAACGAGCTAGTGTAATATTTGTTGACAATGAATTTTTTTTTTTGGGGGGGGGGGGTGGAAGGATGGGGGGGGGGGAGGACTGTATAAAGGAAATGATATAGAGAAGGAATAAGATCAAAAAGACAAAATCCCTTACTGGATCAAATGCTCAGTTCTAGACACTTCAAAAAATTGTTTTTGTTCGTTCGATTCCTTACCTTTTTCAGTACCAGAAGACATTGTTTTAAATACTTAAGAAGGTAATAGACACACTCAAAAGAGCATGACTACTTTCAGTGAAGTAGCTTATACTATCTTCTGTGTTACTATATGAAGTCAGATTTTTTTTAGCATGCTGAAACCAAATGTAAAACGTATAAGTACACGCCGTCTTTGAGTGGGTACAGATACTGTCAGGACTAGATCACTTAACCACCAATACCACCCCATCAGTGGGCTGATAGCAAAGGTTGGTGACGTTATACGTATAATCCCGGCTTAAGGATGCACTATGAGTTTACTCCCCCACCCTATTCCCACAGAGAGCATTTGAGTTCGATACCCAACATGCCACAGCAATTCTCATCGCCGGACATTTGGATCTGAAAGTGTGAGCTGGGTGCTCGGGGTATATGGAATTTACGTACACCGGAGTCTAGCTGCCAAGCCAAACCGTCACAACCGGACTAACAAATGACGAATAGACCCACTTTGAGGCTCCACATAACATTTCACGCACATATCCACGACATGACTAACCCGTTCTTATTACAGGAAGACAACTATAAGACCACTATGGTCACACGCGGAATTTTTTCACATTTCGGAACTAACCAAAATCAAAAACTGTTTTCAGTACTTTTTTGGCTAAGTAAAATACTCAAAATTTTAAAACTATAAATGGTGGTCCAAAGGACGTTATGTAGAAAAGTTCCCTCATTAAGTAGTGAACAGCTTTATGCTGGGTTCGCCTTTAAATCAACACTAATTTAAACTACCCACACACACAAATCTGTCTAGACGCAAGCGAGCATGTAGGTAGGTAGGTCGTTGTATCCCACCAGGACATCACACGGAGCTATAAACACCCGGTATCACAAAGTGCCACCATGCGGATGAGGATCACCCATGGAGAGGTCCCAGAAACCCCGCTCAGCCGTTAAGCCATATTTATTTAGTCTATAAAATATAGGTCTAGCCCTAAAAGCCCATCACTCCTAAAGGCGGAGAATAGGGTCATTTACTTTTTACCATAGACATATAGACCAACCCGCACTGAATAAATAAATACATACACCAACCAAGAGCTGATATCCTTACACTAGAGACATTCCCGAACGTGCGCAGTCTCCTTCTTCAGAAGCCAGCGAAGAGTTGATATGCTAATAGTACCAGTTGCCATCTCATTAAATGTCACCCTTTCCCCCATCCAGGGTGGAATATTTACTCAAACCTCTGCTGACTGCCCACCCTCACCGGCGAGAATATTTAGTCGTTCAAAGTATGGATATTGTAGGGAGGCTGCGTGGTCTCAAGGCATGGTTTCCGCCTCGAGTGCTGAAGGTTCTGGGTTCGATTCCTGGTAG